AGAAACGCTCCACTCTGAAGCAGTTATGTGTGACATGCTACATACTGTTCACTTTCTTTTACCGCTTCCTCTACGGATTTGAATATTATCTTCATCCAGTGCCCCTTGTAGTTCTTTATCTTACTTTAGTTCAAAAGCAGATTTTGATCATGCTGGTTACGTAAATGATTTTGAATCGGTTGTTGATTTGGAGCATTCTAGAATTGCATTTATATTTGTCACTAGGAAAGGTGTGCGGTGCTCAGATCATGAATCTAAACTGTAGATGTAATATTCACAGGTGGTACTGATAATCAGAGACAAAGATGTATTGGGTAGTGAAGTGAATAGCTGTGTTGAAATTTACGCGATTTCTTGTCCAAAGAACAGAACTTTCATTTATATATGGTCTGATTCGGTAGAGTGATGTTTGGAAGCGAGCGTTTCAGGTCACATCGCCCTAATGGCAGGAAAGTTTCCATGCGTTAAAGTAAGAAAATGCCGTTACCGCGACATTACCAAAGCCTTCATAATACATTATCTGAGTAACCGTGGCTCTGCCCCTGGTTTTCCAGGCCTCTGGCTCTTATGCACCTTTCGTTAGTAATTGCATGAAATGCCATGCTTCTGCTTGAATCTGTTCTTGCGCGACGTATGTTTGAAAGTGTTCACACGTGTGGAGTGTCAGGACCCAACAGAGCAACTTTTCAGTGTCCTTTTTTTCCATCATGTTCTGAAAAGGAACCGTTGTGCCAAACCTCCATAATTATCCATTAAATGTTTTTTTGCACTATTCCTGAGTAAAACATGTTTTAGTTTCCTAATGCCTGGTTACCCTTAGACAGAAACTTGCCTGCAGATGTTCTACATACTTTAATTCTGATAGGAATTTAAAGAAAGTACTACGGAAATCGAAGTTCGCGATATCACCAAGGAAGGTCACGAAAAGGCTGACCCATCGCAGTTCGAGCTGCTCAAAGTTCTCGGTCAGGGATCGTTTGGAAAGGTAGAAAAAGAAAAATCGTTATATATATATATATGCCTTTTCAGTATGCTTCCTATTTTTTTCCAGGTTTTCCTGGTCAGAAAAATCATCGGTAAAGACGCGGGTGTTTTGTACGCAATGAAAGTACTGAAGAAAGCTACCCTCAAAGGTGTTTATCCTCATTTGTTAATATTAGTATGTACACATTGGTGAGTTTGAGTTTAGTTCGTGACCGACTGCGGACGAAGATGGAACGCAACATCCTTGCGCAAATTAACCATCCGTTTATAGTCAAGCTACATTACGGTACTTTTCAATAACGTTTTTTTCTATCGTTGAGTGGCTGATTATCAGGAAGTGCGACATGTGACTTAACATGTCTTCGAGTTATTATCTGCATAATTGTATAACTGTATGTCATATGTTATTATTATATGTAGAATGTGTGGCACTGCCAATGACATGCATTGGTATGTAATGTACCGCATGCTACTAAACTCGTATAAATGAAATGCAGTGTGTCTCCTATTCGTCATTATGCGGTCATTACGCAGTGCGATTGTACAGTATACCATATGCAGTTGCTTGAAAATCAGCATTAAACGGTTTACGCAACGCGAAACGTGATGAATAGGACGCATTTGAAACGTACCGACGCATGGCTTGGCAGGATGCTATATGAGTCTTTTATCAGGTTACACGTCGATATGAAATGGAAGATGCTATTCATAACATGTTGTAGGCATAACGCATATCATCTCTTATGTATGTCGGCAGACAAGTGTCTAAAAGAGTACCGAATGCCTGTCACGTATTGTAATTTAGCAGCGTACGGTACTGAATATATGTACAGCGTGTATTGCATGTTCTGATTAGTACCTCTTATGTGGTATTAACATATAACTGAGTACTAGTCTGCACTATGGTTCGCAACATGTGTGACATTATATACCATTATAACACTGCGCAAATAGTACTAGAATGATATGACGTAGTAGTTATTATTGGCCAATACTATACTGTGGAGATTGAGAGAAGTGACACATGGTTGCTTTCCGTGTTAAATGTAGTGTATTCTACTACAGAAGTTATTGTACGGTGGGCTCGATGCATGTGGATGTGTAACTGTACAATGGTATTCGCGATACTTTTAATGAGTGGTAGTTTAGTAGTATGCAGCACATTATGAGCTTTCTCCATTTTGCTAACAGAAACTCGATATTATGTCAACGTTTAACTGTAGTTAAACATTTAATAATGACATATGATATAACATGCGTACTTTATTCTGTGCTGTATTTCCTACTAGAAAATTTTTATAGTTTGTTTATCGAAAGTTTCTGAAAAGTTCTGACTCCTGTCTTTTATAACGAATAAGGCATTTTTATACTCAGTGAAATAATCTGAAGTGTTTCTGTACATTACTGGTTTTCAAATACCATGGAGCTGTAGCCTGTTTACATGTTTTTCTGCACCAGTCCCATCGAGGCATAATGCATTTGATATAAATATTCTGAATAATTTTTTAAGGTACTGATATGATTCTAGCGCCAACGGCTTTTGTTTGTTTTAAGACGTTTGTCCCTATAGCCGTGGAGATGTGCATATATGCTAAATATAGTCTGATATAACGTTGTTTAATATTTTTATTATTAAACGGCATATAACTCCTGAGTGAGGCTAGACCAGGACCTATATTGTAAATTTATCGTATAGATTATGTATAATATCGTTATGTTCCTTGTTTAATAACGGTTTTGCTTTATGTAACCTCGATTCACTTGGCCAGCACACTATGACGCCAACACTTTTAATTTAACTATGCTATGGTGAACGTTTAGCATTCCAGACGGAAGGCAAGTTGTACCTCATTTTGGACTTTCTCCGAGGCGGCGACTTATTTACGCGCCTCTCAAAGGAAGTGATGTTCACGGAAGAGGACGTCAAGTTTTACTTAGCTGAACTCGCCCTCGCTCTGGATCACCTCCATTCGTTAGGAATCATTTATCGTGACCTGAAACCAGAAAAGTAAGCAATTTGTCAGTGGTACAGATAGCTGATGGTTCGGTTAACGGTTCCTTGACCCGTATTAATACATACTTGAATGTGCAGAAATTTTCAAACTTGTTTCAACTAAGTCACAAACGGGATGACGCCACGTAAAACTTTTCATTCACGTTATACAGTGATTCTGGCGCTTCTGACCAACTGTGATCCAAATTCAGATAAACAGTCAGGTTTTACACGGAGTCATTTTCTTACAGGTAGCATTGACCCGCATGATTGATGGTGCCGCGCTTGTCGCCGTGATCGTTTGACGTTTCCGGTTTATGCGTTGTTGGCATCTGCTTTACGGTCGCGGTTGACGACGCATCTGGCCGTTGAGTGGATCAGAAACGCTTCATTGACTTTATGGTTAAAAAGTTGTTTTTCCCACATGACACTTCATTCTCTCCCAATATATGGTATGCTGATGCACTATGAAATATAGCGAAATTGTACAAACGTATGATAAGATAATGTAAGCCCTACCCTCGGGTGAACAGCAAGAAGTGCATGGTCTTGATAGGTTGGTTTACTAGACCTTCATTTAGCATCTTCAGCGAATAGCCGTTCTTTTGCAAAGTCTTCTTCATGTGATCCAGTTCTGTGCAAAAGTCACCTTCCGTGACGGAAATCTTTCGTCTTCGGGGGTAGAATCCTCATAAAGCTTTTGTTAACGTTTGCCGGGTGATGAGAGAAGTTATGAGGATATCGATACGTATGTATCTTCTTGTCCTGTATTGTTGCATAATATTGCTGTTGCTGGTTTTTCGCTAAGACATTCAGTAACAGTAACCTGTCACTGTTCTCCTTATCCATAGTGAACAAGATTACTTCTGTAACACAGCTCATTTGTTACAAAAACATGTTTCGTGCCGTCCATCAAATCTGCCATAGTAGGGAATAAAAGTGATTCTATTATATTGGTAATATAACTGAACGTAGAGTCCAATGAGATGTATCCTGAATAATGGAGCTTATCGAGAAACTTGTTTCATTGTTTGCGTTTTTATTCCTTTCTTCAACTATGTTTATTACAAGCTAGTGAAATGCTCTTTTTTTAATATCCCAGTTCGCCATAATGTCTTGATTTTTTTGACTTCCAAAGCAATCTGTTGCACAAAAGTTTCAGAGTTCTTCGCATTTGATTTCCTGCTGCCTGTATATTACTGAACAGTTGCACGAATAAGTGGTTCAATCACATGTGAGATGCGGTAGCACTAATCGGAATATTCAGCTTGTGTAGTTTTGCTAGATGGTGCAACTGAGGAATGGGCAAATGGCACTTTCCTGGTCTATTGAGTTGTCGGCTGTTTGCGTGGGTCCTGTGCATTTCTTTCCACTTTTCCATCGCTAAAAATCGTGTTGTCAGTCGCTTCTTCAAAGAAAACCAAGGATAATTTTTGCAAAGAATTAGTTCACGTCAGATTGACTTTTCCAAAACGGTTCCACTATGAAGGTCTGACAGACCATCTGTTTCTCGCTGCTCACCAAACAATAGAGGTTTCTCACCTTACCTACGTTCGTAAGCTTGGAAAAAATGTACCACGCGTATTGCGTGTATAGCCTGTCTGAACATTCTATTTAAACCCATTGCAACGCTTCACAATTGCATCAGCCACCTGAACAGTAAGATACCGCAATGGCACAAACAACCTTAATTGTACAAGCTCCTCCGTTCATATAGTACATTGTACTTCGGCGAAGTGGACAGGAGATGTCATCAGTGGAAGAATGTAGTGTCAAATAAAAAATGTCTCAAGCTGGTACCCGGAGAACGGAGAACAGCCGACGATACTAAAATTATCCGGGTTGAATGCATAAAAATCCCGTTGTGGTACAGCATCTTATAATCCATCGGCACACAATATCTTGAGAGCTGAAGGAAAGCGTCGCATTGGAGAAACCAATATGTTACCCAAAGTAGCATCCGTTCAACCAGCTACCTCGGTCGCGATCGTAGAGCAGATTCCAGCTACATATGAATCGAGAACATCATACGGTCGCTTACGATTAGTGACCAGCACGACACCATCAGTCATACGAGTGA